TGTTCCTCGAAAACTAGAACCTGTGGAGAGCTGAAAATTTACGTTTGTACTTCTGTAGTAGGTTAATAGTATACAAATACTTAGGTGAGGACAGCACAGCATCACTTTGGCAAAAGCAGGAAACCTTCGTTTTCTTGATTTTTGAACGAGTAAAATACGGCAAACGTATATAGATGGCTTAATGCGGATAGCGTATGCGTGAGCAAGTCAGAATCTTCGTAGCATTTCCTGAACGAAGTTGGGTTTTCTCAGTTTTTAGGGTAGTTGGATCTAATGTTTGGCTTTAATCTCGAGGCGGATCACTGTAGCGAAAGCAAGATTACCATTTTGTAGAGCTTGCTTTGCTCTATCGAACTTTACTTTGCAATCAATTTAGAAATGAGAAGTGTGTGACTTATTGCGCTTGGAATTTAAAACGGACGGTACATAAGGGAAACGATAAATTCGAATGCTCCTAGATCATCACATCTTCACCTATGCTTGTCATTACCACAGATACCCAACCCCTCGAACAAGGCAATACCACGATACCGTAACCTCCATTATGAGCACCAAGCCCCGTCTCCGGTGGAAGGGGGTGAAGCCCACGAGGGAGATTGCAGTACCGTAGTACTTTCTGCGTCTAGCAAATCACCTTTCGGGCAATTAACGCGTTATATATCAACACCACTGACAAGAACTTTGCATCTGAAGCCCCCACATGATGCTGCGTATAGTTTACAAGTTCATCATCAACGATTCTCTAAGATATTGACAAGTTTTTACATGTTAATATAAGTCATGCCATACAGCACTCTATACGTGTTCATACATGACATGGGCAATGCGGCATAGGTGTGCTGTAAATAGGAAAATGCACAGATAACAACAGATATTATGCTTAGCACTAACGTAATGGACATTTCAAGTATCTAAAAGCTATTTGATGCATGCAATAAAAACGCTTCGAGTAGAAAGCCAAGAAAATGCGCTGCTGAACTGCGTAAGCTTTCAGAAGGGCGTTTTCGGCGATTTTTCGTTTTTGCATCAAACTAGATTGAAGCTAGCTAGCTACTGTAATGTATGAACTATTATAGCGAATTACGCAAGATATTTCGTACCAAGCTAATAGCTTGAAAAAGCGACTTGGAAGGTCAAAGCAATGATATTTTGGATTGCTATCGATCTTTCAAGATACGATTGCGGTTCATGAATGATAGGACAGAATTATGAACATGATATGCGTCATTAGGCAAGAATTAAAGGCAGAATATAAAACAAATTAGGTTTTTTAGAGTTTCCTGAGTGAAACAAAATTGTTAGTTGCTCTTAAAACTGTCGGTATTTTCAAACAAGGAAAACCTCGTAATAAAGACCTAAACGCCTTTAAAGATGCATTTGATGCAACTTCTTCTTTTCTCACCAATGGTTTACCTCTCATTTATGCTTTTAGATAAGTGCCAATTATACGCAAAGTTTAGCTACTCTTCAAAAAAATTCATTTCAGAGTTTTGGAAATGAGGAGGTATGATGCAAATAAAGCAAATCGCGGACCATAGTTTACTGTTTTTGAATACTTTCAATGCTGCTTTGAGCTTTTAAATATTTTTATATTTGGAGGACCAAGTCACCCGCGCCAGTTCATAACTCCATACCGCTCACAAAAGTGCAGTTTTTCCGTGATTGTCGCGGACTTTGTCGGAATTCCCGGACACGACATTTACGGAAATTGTGCGCATTCTGTGAGCAGTATTGTATAGGCAACTTCTAGAAATTTTTCGATCTATTCTCAGGAGGATAGGAGGGGGATAGCCATATCAAATCTGTAGGCAGGGTAGAATCGACTTCGAAATTGCCTTGTAACACAATGCGCAGATCGTTTGGCAGTCAAGTCGTCAAGAGATAAAGCATTCTTTTTGACATTGTCACTTACGTCAGCATTTAATAGCAGAAAAAAGTGTGACTTCAGACTTTTGACTATTTTTTTTGGCTTATTACTACTGAGATCCTACCGTAAGGCCTTATCGGTAAGAACCAAAATTTTTGCAAGCATCCAGCTATGCCCGATATAGAGTTTCAAAAATGATTCAGCGATATATGCCATATAAGTCACAACTCTATAATAGAGCATCAATCCAGTATTGAGGGAAGTCGACAATCTTACAGCTGCAAAGTTATAATCTCTATCCAATAACTATTATGACTTCAAAGCAAACTGATGATGAGTGAACAAATACCGAAAGAGATAAAAGTTTTGTTAAATGTCTAATGCCACTTAAATGTCTATCTTAACAAAACGTAAAAGATTGGAGTGGTTTAAAGCAGTATTCACACTTTGAGAAAAGAGAAGATCAAAGTAAAAAGGTACGCGCGTGAAGTGCTCACGAATTTTGCGTTTGGTCCAAAGTTTATCATACCCTCATAAATGCTAAATCCAATCCCATATTATTGTTACTAGCCGTAAAAAGGCCACTTCCATCTCCTATACGAAAGAATTTGAAATTCAAGCGTTTCGACTGTTCAGACTTGAAAATGAGTTTTGTCTTTTTGAGATCCTCAGATTGCAAGCAGCCATGCCGGGTCTTGCACTATAATCAAGAAAAAGAACTGACACTTTTGGCACCTTCAACAATACCACTGAAAATCTTTGAAAACGACATTTATTAATTATTAAATTGGCAGAAAGGTTCTTGCATGCCTCAAAGGAAATCAATGGCTTTTCATAACTCTAATTCATGTTTCATTACAAAGAAAAACAAAATGGTTTGAACATTATGCTAGATCTAAACGCATTTTTGTTGGCAAATGACACTCTGAAATTTGTGAACTCGAATTTTTTCTCGCGAGAGTAAGTGCCGCCTAGCCTCAGAAAAGAATCTGTAAGGTTTTTTTTACATAGTAGTCTCTACAGTATAGCAGGTCATGATCTGGCTTAAAAATGCAAGAAAAATGATTGTGAAAACGTCATTTGAGAGAAAAATCCCTAAGAATTTGACCCAAGGCTTCTTGAATTCCGCGCCGTTTCTTTTTTCTGGGTGTCAAACTGTTTTTTGCAGAAGAATAACAGAAATCAGGAGAAAAAACTAAACTGATAAAATGACATTTTCCATGAGTTTTTTGCTTTTGCGTTTCCATGATAGATCAAAACACCTGCCACTTTAAAGCATGGACTGACGCTATGTAAAACAGATTCTTTGAGGCTAGCGGAACTCTAGACTCTTAAATATTTGTATTCAGATAACTATCGTAATGCGTAGAATTTTGGTTTTCGAGCACGGGACAATATATTCAAGATAAGCTATTGAATTTGTTTTGATTTACGCAAGAAGTTTAACAATTTCTCCGACAATCGGGCATTAGCTCGGCCCGTAACTTCTGATAAAAATCGTTTGTCATCAATGTTCTAAACTGACTGCTCTTTTGGAAGCATGTAAAAAAAAGTTTTTTGGTTTAACTCTTTCTGAGCACTCGGCAGCGGTATGAAGCTGTCGTTGCGCAAAGTCTCATCCCTCATTCCTCACAAATTGAGATTATGAAGAGTAATACATACACATCTAGGATTACAAAATAAACAGTTTTTACATCTCTCTGTTACCAACGCTAAAATTAAAATTAAACGTAATATGTAGATTATCGTCACTGACTTCTTTTTTTAGATGAAACAACAAAACCGCATGAGGTATGACTTTTTACCTTAAATGACAGTATGGTAAGCTGATAATTTTCAATAAACGGTGGATGGTCTAAGGCTATCCTCTAGTGACATATAACACATCCTGTTACCATTCTTTATATATATACAGCTTATATCCAGAGAAGCCAACAGTACGACAATATATACACTAGTTTTAGATGCATCAACTTGGACAGGAAATCCGGACTGATTGTGAATAACATATGCAAGAAACATGCAAGCAAATAATGCAAGAACACACACTCATGAACAAACCCATATCAAGGCAAAAAAAACAATAAAATTTGGCTATAAGGAGGATAAGGCGTGAGGTCAGGCACATGTCCTCTAACCCCTCCCTTTCCTCATTCTCATCCACAGTCTCATAGTTCTCATAGTGCCGCACACGGAGAGAAATAATTCTGTAGTGAGGAGTTTTCGACTTCTCGAAATCTGTACGATCGATTTTCTGCGATTAGACACGACTACATGGTACAACAGCAAATTGACAACAAAATTACTCTTACATTAGCTGTAAGTTCCCTCAAAACCCATGACTTTCTCAGGGCAAGAACAGATTTCATGCTACCCAGTAACAATAAAACTGGAGCGGTTTGAGGTTGCGAAGGCAAGTGAAGTGGGTCAAACATAAGATTACGAAAACTCATGCAGCCTGACTTTCAAGGGCTAGTGGCTAACCTCAACCTCATTTCCAATGCAGCTTCTCACCCAATTTATTCGTTCTTTAGCATATACCTTTCAGATTGCACATAAGGTCATGGTTTACTTTAACTTGATTAGGCTTCATGGTATTAGGTGAATGCATTCATTGTAGAAAAAGCTGTGATTGGACTTCTGAAAACACTTCTAAATCCACTATTTTCAAACGATATCAGACAAAATTCTTAGGAAAGTTTAGTAAGGTTTACTATTTTGTGATGAGTACAAAAAACCAACTTTTTTCTCGTCTTTGAGTCGAATCAATCTGCTTGAAAATCACGCTTTGTAAAAGCTCATCCAATGGTTGGAGTATAGGAGCTTATAGAAGTAATATGACATTTTGATTACGGAGATAACACTAATTCCACATGGTGGGGTCTCTTTGGTGGCTCAGGTACGGTGAATGTTTTGCAATCTGCTGAGATTTAGTAGAGTTGATAGCGCTATTTCTAATCGTATTCAATACGAACTTGTAATTAGGTTAGTGTACGATATTTATCGTATTTAGCGCTTCTGTTTTTTTACCATGTTCAATCTTCATGCTTCCAGAAAAATACGGCCCGCCCCTCCTCCCCCCCCCCCCCCCTCCCTCCTCAGATCACGCGCCTGACACCACGCTTGACCCTGCTCATAAGCTTAGTTTCAGGGTTAAAGCACGTTGTACCAGTAGCTGTTTCTGCTCAGGTTTCTCGATAATACAGCAAGCCCCTACAAAAAAAAACTTTTGTATAAGTAAATTCTACGATGACCGATACACGGTATATCCCAGCGATTAAGACTCACCAAGGAAGGCTTCTGGATGTTCTGGAAGAAGTTTGTCCTCTAGGGTTTGCAGTATATCACCAAAAGACTTCGTCCCCTTCGCGAATTCTTTCATCGCACAAGCAACATCATTGCATTTTTTGATTTTGGTTAGCTAAAGCAATTTCAAGAGTTCATAACCAGGGTAACTCGAAGCACTTACAATCAGGAAATACTGTTTAGGAGTGATGTACATCGCTTCTTCATACTCAGGTGGCAATTTGATTGTTTGGCTGGTACTTGACGATTGAGCAACATTGCTCGGACCGCGCTAAACTACATCAATCAGTGGTGTAAAATTGAAGCAATTAGAAAATTAGATAAATCAGATTTAGTAATTACAAGACTCCATAGAAAGAGTAAGTTAAGTTGAAAGCAAACGACCTTTTTTTCTGATGATCATTCTAAATGAGAGCCTTGGGAGTAATGGGGAGGAAGAAACCGAAAATTAATTTTTGATGATCACTGATAAGTTGAAGTCAGTCCTCCTTTTCTTTTAGGTGACATTTCCGTGAACTTTCTTGCATGAACAACCTAACAGTAGAAGTTTCTTCGAAATGACTTTCAGCACGACTCTTCACTAACACCAAACTTTTTCATGTTAGATTAGAACGAAAGTTCTGTCGCAACATTCTCAAAAATTCACAATACTTTTAGTTCTCTATGAAAGTCGTTGCTGTTGATTTTGTTCAAAAAAAAATCATACTCTTCATAACGATGCTTCAGCAGCTTTCTCTTATGCGACTATATAGACAGAGGCTATAGAAGAAAGTTACTCAAATTTCGATCACTCAAATTTGGTCGAAACCTAAATCTTGCGATAAAATTCCAAGCAGTCGATATTAAGGGTTCTATTCGCTCTTTATGAATGAACAAAGTTTGCGCGGATTGGCTGTCCCAATGAGAAGTTATGATTTTTGAGCGAGTAGTACAAAACATCAGCTTCGAATCTTTCGAAAATAACAACTTTTTACAGAAACAACCAATCCGCGCAGACTTTGTTAGAAAAAGCAAATAACAGAACATATATAATATAATCGACTGTATCGCAAGATTCAGATTTTTTGCGACCAAACTCATAAAAATCGGAATTTAGATGATTTTCTTTTACATCCTCTATCTATGCAATCTATGCATAATGAAAGGCCAGTGAAGTCCCGTTAATGAAGAACGTGATTTCTTTTTTTTCTTTTTTTTTTGAACAAATTCAACAGGAGGGATTTCATTGAGAAATAATAAAGCGATGAACTATTGAAATAGTGCGACAGAACTTTCGCTCCAACTTAATATAAGGCCAGAAACTTTAGAAATCATCATATGCGCACCGAATTCAGGAGAGTGAAAATTAAGCTTACCTAAGCGAAGATATATGGAAAGAAAAAGAAGGGGGAGAGAGAAGGGGAAAGAAGTCAGAAAAATATTTCAAAAGAGGCCTGGCGTTTGCCTCGCCATCGAAAAAAATTATGGAAAGTCCATGGTTTTCTTGAAATAACCTGATTAAGATAAAAGAGTGGCAGAGCTGACTTGGACTTTGAACATGGAGCGATTACAGTTATCTGCGACTACGAGCAACAAATTACTATCAATTTTTTTAACTCATGTAGACCACTCTCCGATTACCCCACTTAGAACGTTATTACGGAAAAAGGAGATCATAAATCAGTTTTCACGAACTAAAAATCAATTATTTTGTGAGGAACATTCACCCTAGAAACTCCCACAACATAAGGAACTTTTGAAAAACATGATAAATTTATGAAGATGGTACAACCAGTTTAACGGCATATTCCTAAGCACATTTGATGAGCATAAACTGGAAAAGGATCAAATTTGTGCTTCTTAGGATACATGCAAAAATGAAATGCTCCCAAATGTTTACCGAGGAGTTGAAGTATGAGCAGAATTCGCAAATAACTAATGCCACAATTTACATGGCTCTTCATAGATTACTAACCCATTGGCGACAGTCAATTTTCAACGGCTTTGACTTGCGTCATCATGTACTATGTTTTTCTCAATGATACTGCTGCTAGCAAATGTTAAAGCCAAACCCAGCTCATCCGCAAAATTTTTGAAAAATACAAGGTGTCTTAAAGGTAAGTACATACTTCTTAATCGCTAATAATTCTCTTTTCCTGAACCTTTTGCCTAGAAGTGAGTACCATTCAGTAGAGCAGGCTTCAACGGATTTACAGTACGGAGCGAATTATTCATCGCTCTTCATTAGTGTATAGGATTACGGTACGAAGTTAAGGAAGGGTTTTTGCAATTAAATGCAGCGGCTCGGCAGATGGACCTACCTCAGATTTTGACACAGATGGATAGGAGACCCTCCAAGTGAACCAAAACAGCAACTCCGCGCCGAAAATGTGAACTCTGCAAGCCAGGGGGCGGCCCAAGCGCCGCTCCCCTTCCTCCTTTCGCTCCCCTAACACCTTGTTCGGACGAGTATTCTCCGCTAGACGGCGCGGGACCCCCCAACCGCTTTCCCGCATTGTGCATGCTATACAAAGCCAAAATTACAGGCAGCAGGGTCTTCGTGCCAGTGCCTCCCGACTCTCCTTTGAAAATTCTTGTCCGAGCTGCCTTTTGGAAATTGAAAAAAAAAACGCCCCGAAAAGGCCTTTTCACCCCTTTTAAAGCTCAGATTCGGGATCTACGGGTCGAGAAGGCCCAAAACATGCAAAAAGATGGAAATGCAAAATCTGCCGGGACGCTGCCTTTAAGAGCCCCAGCTCGCCTCAGAAAGCAAATCAAACAACCTGAAAATCTTTACACTAGGCTAATCAGAGCCGCTGACACTAAATATGGGCTTTGCACCTTATCGCAATACTTTATTTATAAGCTATGCCGAGTAAAGCGCAATGGCTGCTTTTACACTGCTTCTTGAAGACATGATTACACCTTTTGAAAAGCTCTACAAACTTGTGAGAAGCTGAGCAATGAAATCATTCGCGTGAATGTCCTGGTACGCAGCTTTTCAGATTATCTGGAAAAAGTTTTGATTTTATTTTCTCAAACATGGCTATTCCACTACGACGCTGTAAGCTGGTATCTACTGTAATTCTACAGTAAGCAAGAGTATTGGGTGGTTCGCTCCATACTGTAGATCTAAGTTGAGGCCCGCTCTACCGAATAGTACTCAATTCTAGGCAAAAGACTTTGCGGAAAGAGACTAACGACTGAAAAGTGTGTACTTACTCCCAAAAAATGTATCCACTGTTTGATTGTTAATAACTCTCTTGTTATGAGGCCTTTCGAGAAGCGGTAAGCGCCATTCTGTAGAGCTGGCTCAACTTAGATTTACAGTATAGTACGGATCACCCATCTCTCTTCATTACTGTAGGATTACGGTAGAAACTTGAAACAAATGGTGTCAAGGTGGAAAAAGCTGCCGTTTCAAAAATTTTCAAAAAAAAATGTGAAAAGTTGTGTAATACGGTTTTTATGGACGCGGACTGCTGTGGAAGTGCGCAATAGAGGAGAACATCTGATAAGGCTACTGGAAAACAGCAAGTTGTGCAAGAGGCTTGAGATTAGCGTCCAGGATTTGGTAAAACGTCATGCGAATGCATTGGCAGTCACCGACCAAGAGTTATCGCAAACAGATCTGGTGGAACATGATACAGAAACTGGAGATGCGACACCAATACGGCAAAAACCGCGACCAGTGCCGCTCGCAACTCGAGTCGAGCTTCGTCGCATCTTGAACGATCTCCAAGCTAGAAAAGTGATCGAGCCGAGTAAGTCGAGCTGGGCTTCACCAATCGTGCTTGTCTATAAGAAGGATGGATCACTCAGGCTATGCGTAGACTACCGCAAAGTGAATAAGGTCACCGGAGTGGATAGCTATCCGCTGCCGTCGATCGACTCCATCTTACAGAGCCTAAAGGGGAAGTCATTCTTTTCGACTCTTGATCTGTCTTATGGCTGCTGGCAGATAAGTCTCTCCGAAGACGCTAAACAAAAATCCGCTTTTGCCACCACGGAAGGTCTCTTCCAGTTCCGGGTGTTGCCATTTGGATTATCGGCGTCTCCTCCAGTTTTCCAGAGGCTAATGCATAACGTCTTGGGTTCTCTTTTGGAGAGCGGAGAGGTGTTTTGCTATCTGGATAATATTATTGTAGCTACAGATTCAGCTGAGAGGCAAGTGGTCATGCTCGAAAAAGTCTTCGAAAAGCTAGAAGAGGCAGGACTCAAACTAAACCCGAGAAAATGCGTTTTGTTCGAAAGGAAGGTGGAGTTTTTTGGTCACATTATAGATCAAGATGGCTTACATATAAACCCAGCTAAGATAGAGGCGATTTAAAAATACTCCTTACCGCAGTCGCGTTCAAACCTCCGAACCTTTCTTGGAATGTGCTCATATTATAGAAAACTCGTGCTTGGCTTTTCTGAAGTAGCGGGCCCCCTGCATGAGCTAACCTCGGGAGAAGAAGAAGTTCGAATGGACCACGGAGACAAGAGCAAGCTTCGAAAAACTGAAAAAGATCATCACCGAAGCTCCAGTCCTCGCTCAACCGGATATCGAAGGCCCGCGAAGTGGGATGAAACCCTTCAAAATTCATAAAGATGCTAGTCAACAAGGCTTGGGCGCAGTCCTTAGCCAGGAAGGGGATGACGGGTTGCTGCACCCGATCTTCTTTGCATCAAAAGGTTTGACAAACTGCGAAAGAAGGTATCACGTGACGGACCTCGAGGCCCTGGCAGTCGTGCTTGCACTAAGGAAGTTCCATATGTTTGTCTATGGTCTACCTGTAGAGGTGTACACAGATCACCAAGCACTAACAGCAATCTTCAAGCGCACAAACGTCTCAGATCGGGTGCTACGCTGGGCGCTTGAGCTGCAGAAATATAACTTGAAGATTGTCTATCTGAAAGGTGCCGCAAATCGGGTGGCAGACGCGCTGAATCGCGGAGCAACGTGTGAATAAGCACATCGCGCGGATAAGGCGGACACCATGCCGAATGAGCTTATCGTAGCCTGTGCGGTTGAGGAAACGCAATGGACAAGGGAACTACGCGAAATACCTGCTTAAAGATAGATAATCGAAAGCCTGGAAAAGGGCGATGTAGACGGAAAAGAGGAGTTCCCGGAAACTTCGGTGAAGTTCAGAGTAGCTGACTTTATAATGAATCAGGGCTACCTAATGCTGGTGGACAAGGACTATTTGCGCAAAGTCGTGCCTCCATCGGAGAAGAAGAAAATCTTTCATGAGGCGCACTACGGGATACTAGCGGGACACTTTGGCCCTAAGAAGGTGTGGCGTGTGCTCTGCAAAAGATATTTTTGGGAAACAATGCGACGAGACATCTGGCTATGGCGGAAGAATGTCGTGAATGCTTGTGCCACAATACGCAACGCGCAATGGTTCCCCCGTTGAAACCGATAGTGACTAGTAAGACATTCGAGATTGTCGGGATGGATATCCTAGAGATGGGACCCACAACAGAAGGTAACCGCTATATCCTGGCAGTGATTGATCATTTCTCGAAATTCGCAGGGGCTTATGCCATTTCATCCAAATCCGCAACGATCGTAGCTCGAGTCTTTTTCGAACGTTGGGTAGCAGAAGGCGGCGCCAGCCCAAATGTATCCTCTCGGACCAAGGGGGAGAGTTCGAAAATAAGCTAATGGAGGAGCTAAGGAAGTTGATGGGATGTGAACAGGTGTTCACCAAAGGCTATAACCCGCGCGAGAACGGCATTGCCGAGCGATTTAATCAGATATCATCGCAATGCTACGGAAAGACGCCTTTCTTCCTATTGCATGGATTTGACGCGCACGTTCCATGGGATGTGACTGGATCGGAAGTCAGCAAATACGCCGTGGACTTGGACAGTTACGCGCAGGAATTAGCGGTTGGCACGCAGACTGCTCGCGAATACGCCCGAGGAGTGAGTGAGAAAATGCGAGAGCAAATGAAAGCCTCGTATGATCGCGAAAAAGGAGTTGACTCGCGTCCTATTCCTCCGCAAATAGGCGACCGAGTCTATATGAAGATACCGGGAGGGCGGCAATCATCACGCAACCCTAAGCTAGCCAATCCCTGGAAGGGCCCTATCGGGTGTTGGAAACAAGCAGCAATAGCGCGCTGATAACACTCATAGGGGTAAACAAAGAGCCCGTTAGAGTGCCTTTTGACTTGCTAAGGAAACTACCCCGGGAATATCCGATGAACCCCTTAGGACCAGGAAAACTAGGAGAAAAAGGGGACGCCCGCGCAAGAAACCCGTATCTGATTTAGTAATATGTGCCTCAACTTACTTTTGCAGGACAATGATCAAAGCAAACGACCCGCTTCACCTTCGTTTCCGAGGTGAATGTGGCCTCTTCGGACATATGGCCCACGTCGCACTGCCTGGCTTGACACACGCTATGGCACGATCGAAGAAAGTGGAAGATATGTTCCAGCTTGCCATTGTCGCGTCCGTGTCAGAGGAGCAATGCTGGGATGACGAAAGAAAGGAGACTGAATTGAGGAGAAAGAACTCGCAGTTCATCACCTCGTATGGACTGGCGCTTGCCATGGATGGACATCGCCGCCGTTGCCCCCTATATGCTGAGAGGCTTGCCGCCGCGAAGGGGATATGCTACGAACATCCCACAGTTTTTCCGTGGGCAGTGCAGTACAATTTGAGTGAAACTGCCATGGAAGCCATAACGATGCTGGAACAGCTGGAGCCTCCCGTCCCCGCAAGGAATACCGACAGAGATGTCTTCATTGCAGTGCCGGTTGCCTTTGCAAGCCGCCGAAATCGGATATGAAGACAATATCACTATCTACATCTACACTGACTTTGGATCACTCGCTACGAAACTGCTGTCCCACGTGATCACTGAAAGTATCATCACCATCTGGCCGCAGACGATGCCCAATACCGGCCCATGAGGCAGCTCCTAATAAGCTTGGAAAGACATCTAGCTGATAGAGGGGCGCTCGCTTTTTTCCGTCTCCATACGAGAATTCCAATGCGGCTGAATAAAGGAGATTGGGCGAAGCGTGTAGAGAATTCACGCGGAACTTCGAAGCCCTGGTACGGGATCATTACTCGAACTTAGAAAGGAACTTCGAAGCCCTGGTACGGGATCATTACTCGAATGTATGAGACGCTGCCCCTACACCCATCCCGCGGTCTGCTTGGGCACCACACCCCGGCGCAATTCCACTTCAATCTTGGAGGACAAGCTGATGTTGCTGTACTTGGAGAAAATGCGCATCACCCTCGCCGACCTCGTTCGCCCCCGGAGTTCAACTTTGCATCAACACAGCTAGGGGAACAGCGGGCTCGAGAAAAAGCTTGTGCGAGAAAGCGTTGTAGGGAAGAGAGAATGCCCAACTTCTGGGTCATCGAAGACCCGCAGAGGCAGCGCCACCAACAGCCTATAACGTTCCTTCTCCCACCTACCACTCAGACAATCGCCGGGGGCAGGCGGGCACCGGAAAAATAGTTTGCTGATCTCTCACACCCCGCTCGCGGATATTCTGCAAAGCAATCAGGACTTTTCGGAAGACCGCTTGCTGAATTCTCGATTCCTCAGAGATTCAGCAATATATCTGCAAAAGATAAGAGCGAAAAAAATTCAACAGGCGGTCTCTCAAAAATCCGCTGACTCAGCGAGCGGTCTTCCGAAAAGTCCTGATTGCTTTGCAAAACATCCGCGAGCGGGGTGCGAGATCAGCAAACTATTTTTCCGGTGCCCGCCTGCCCCCGGCGATTGTCTGAGCAGCAGCCGACATTCTAGGCCCGCCACGCCGCCGTGAACGATCCGGCAGCCATCGACGTAGTCCGCCACGCCACCTTCGTAGAGACGACTACCCCGCCAGTGATCGCAAAGCAGCCAACCCCAGGAGCAGGTCATCGTACCACCGTGAATCGCCTAGCCGCCCAGGAAGCAGTCGTCTCCAGGTCGAGCCAGGGTCTAGCCGCCGCGCTATGAGCCCCATCCTGCCACGCCGCCCTCACTCTCCCGTACGCAGTAGAAGTCGTAGTTCTCCCGGTCGCCCACGTTTCGAAGGCCACGATCGCACCCCGCGCCAATCACATCAAAGTCGGGACGACTCTCGCCGCCGCCCGGGCATGTAAAGGAAAGGAAAAAAGAAACACACGTATGAATGATCTGAAGTTTCTAAATGTGCTTTATACTTAGCGCGTACCTCTTTCCAAATCTTATTTAGCTGTTTTGATGTTGCGACTGTTGTTACGATCTCCTTTGCTTCTTTTCGATATAAATTTTATATTGTTTGGCATGGTTTCGTATGCGCACCCGCCGTCGTGGCGGGATCAGGCGATTGGCGCGGCATGCACATCTTCTCGGCCGCTATATAAGGCGGCTCTGCTTGGTTCAAATCACTTTTTGTCTTCGAGTCAACTGGTGCGATCGATCAATCGAGGAACCAAGCCGAGGAGGACGCCGGCGCCAATCGCCTGGAGGATCGCTTCAATAAAGGACTTCTACAAACCCCTGGACACCACGCCGAGCCCCCGCGATAGCGCCTAGAGCAGGCCTCCTACTGCGTAACAAAAGTTGTTTATCAAGGGCAGTGATTACTCGAGGTAAGTGTAGGACAATTCGCATGACCGGCTTTTGCCGTCGCAGGATGTGTCGCGTGGAAACTGAATTAATAGATTAACAAGCTAACAAATTCCACACCCGTCCGCTCTGCAGTGATACAACAACTAGAATCATCCCCAGGCGAAGTAAGCGCGAATTCAGAAAATGTGCACAGAGACTTTGATAGCACGCGGCAGCGCTCAGTGTCGATTTATGACGCTATGGTAAATGGTAACAAAAATTGTGAAAAGATCTGCACTTTCAAGTACAATGAATAACTACAGTTAGTTCCACACTCTCTACAAGGCAAGACACTGTCCTACGACAGCCAATTGCAGCCTTCAAATGACGATGGAATACAGAGATTCGCTTGAACGCAGATCAGATGGGAGATGCAGTGAAAACTCCAAACAAAGAAAGTCTTTGATAACTACATACCGTTGGGCAAAGTAAAATCAAACTGATCATTGTCTTGCCGTGTCACCTTGACATAGTCTGGCTGAAAATAGGAAGCATGATGCACGCAACAATAAACAAAAAATATGGAGTACACAATGACTGAGAGCCGCACCTTAGCGAGCTCGACCTTTAGCGTACAGCATCCAGAATAGATATCGGCACCATTGATGGCATGTTTCGCTTTTTTGGCGATTTCAGCACTTTCGAACTCCACTAGTGCTTGCATCAGAGACTTTCGCACTACAGCAATTCTAAGGACTCCCGTGAAGCTCACAAATTTGATGAATCACCTAAATAGAAACCAGCAAACATGCCCAAAATGCTACTGGCGGAGAGATTTTACTCACATGGACATCGATTGGATATTGAGCATTATACACGGTTATAACCAACACCTTGCAGGGGTTTGCCGATTCGAAGCCAAGTCGCTGAATATTTTGCGAAGTGGAGTAGTTGAATAAGGCTGCATCGCCAGCAACAAAAATGAGGTTTGAAGACGCGAAGTGACGCAAGCTCTCGCAGCTGCAATCAAGACTGATATATTCATGTGCCTGACACAGCTCCGCTGGTTGTGAGGAATGTATGAAAGGATCTTGCACTGATACAACGGAAAGTTTCAAAAATACGCATTTCCGCAGTTGTTTGGACCTCTCGCTTGGGTCTCGCCTATTTTGAGTTACCGATCTGCTGTGATGAAGCAAGATTAACGATAGTAGGATCAATTCAAACTTGCATCTTTTAGACCCAAAAACTTAGTCAAAATAATCCATCAAGGACTACAGAATTCAGCAATAAGAGGAAAAAAGATGAGGGCGAGATCACATACCCTCGATGTCCTCGAATTCAACCAGAGCCATATTGTGAGCCGGTATGATTGCCACATAAGCAATCAAACCAGATGTTTCAAGAGCTTCTATAAGATCCGCTTCTGTTGCCTATAAACAGGACTGTAACGACTGGTCAACAAGAAAAAAAAATGAATACGTCGGGCTGCTAAAACCGCTAAGCCAAGGGACGAATCCCATCTCACCGCTTTTAAACTTCGTAGCTCTGTCAAACTTCACACGCCCAAAGTCGTACAAGAGTGCTCGATTTCCAATTTTTTTAAAACAAATCTCATGTGCGAAAAGTGTGCTTCTCAAACATGAGAAGCGCTCACACGCTCCGGTCAAGCGTGCTGGCGCTTTGGGCTAACGCGGAACGGGTGTATGTCAAGAGGCGCGATTTTTATTGCCAGATGGACACCAGATGGTGCATAATAAGGGTTTTGTAACATTCTCAAAGTGATTGAAAGGAAGGAGATATATAAGGTAGCTGCATGAGTTGCATAATCTTGCTGTCTTGAAATCAATTCAAAACAATAATTTTGAAAACCAAAAACCCAAGAAAATTCAGTTGCGACAAATTTGTAATTAATTCGGTTCATTTTCCAGAGCCACCAAACTCAGCAAGTTGTGACCTCAGACAGATAGTAAGCCAATGCACTTATCTGTCTTTTTGAAGACTCGCATAACACTAAACTAGGTTTTGAGTTGGTGACAGCCGGAGGAATCGCGCCTCTTGACCGTCTCCCACACGGGAACGTGTCCGATTAGAGGTGAGAATCTTGAAAGAAAAGAAGTTTGAGCGTTTTTGGTCGCTTTTGAGCGAAACTTGCGAAAAAAAATTTTTTTTAAATTTGCGAAAGAGCTATAAAATGCCTTAGAAATTCAATGCCATTTCTTTCAGCGAGGTTCAGGATTAGACGTAGGTTTCATATGGAAAGGATCCAAACATGATGGCGGCGCAAAGACTAATGAAAAATTAGTAAGTGAAAGCAGAAAAATCCATGATCTTGCAAATGGTGCCAACACAAAGGGTGAGAATGAAGAAGAAAACTCGAAAAGACCAGTGAAAGGATTGGTGCCATGAATTATATGTGTTTTGAGCTCTAACCTTCAAAAAACAACGTTATTCGCTCTAAAGATCGGTCCGCAATTGCTAAGGAGATAACATCAGTCAAGAAAACGGTGCAGACGCAACATTGACACCGAACGAAACGGTTTGACTTAGAAGCACATTCAAAAGCCTATTTAGTAGTTATTTATTCAGCAAAAATATACAAAAACAAAAGCAGTGCCCGTAGATCATTGCAAATCACGTATTTCACAAAAGTGTAGGCATCCTGCAAAACCAACCAAGTAGTGTCAGTTTAGTCGATATACTTTTTGAACACATAGGGCTTCTCCAGATACCATAAGCATAATGATGAACAATCAGAGCATGTTCTCAAATGTCCAACACAGTTGAAGGCAGGAGAAAAAAAGCATTGTGCAATGCAAAAACCGGGGAATGAATCTTCAAAAAAGAGAAAAAAAAGCTATCAAATTCAATACGGCATCCATAATTTCAGAGATGAACAAAAGACCAAAAAAGAACCCGCAAAAAATAAAAATTAAGTCAATGCAAGCACCGCTTTAAGGCTTCTTTACCACTTTCTTAATCAGCAACATGCGTTGTTTATGCGCCTCAGTGGGCTGAGGAGTGATACGGTCTGGGCGTATTGGCGCCGGAGCGCCGAATACATGGACAGAAGCACGCGGAGCTGACGGCATCTTGTACACCATATCGAGTACGAATTCCACGTCTCTAGCCTCGATTCGATGATTACCGCGATGTTTGACCAGCTTGCAGACATGACTTACGAGCTCGTTCACAAATTCGTCGGTGTAGTCACAGAGCATATCCTAAAAACAGGGAAGTTGTGCGAAGGCCTTCTATGGTGATCAACCGTTATAAACTGTGATTTAATGACAGCAACCGAAGTTTTAAGCGAATAAAACTGCTACAACATGTTCTTTCGTTCGGACCTCAATAATGGAAGGTCTTACTAGGCGAGACTAAAAGAGGTGGTCTTGTAGAAAACAAATGTGAAGATGATGTTTCCGTTAACTTGTTAATTGATCGACACGATCAAGGTAGCAAGGTACCATTACACAGAGTTCAAAGATCCCGGACAGTACAAATGAACGTTTTAAAAAATTTTAGTGTAGTGATTTTTTAGTTCTGACACAAAGATGTATGGATGTTATATGAGATTGACAAAGGAAAGATAATCGATGACATTGGACTTGCAAGATGCGATATATATTGCTGGACGAATCTAAACGCTGATTCTGAATGTGCCTTCGACATCTGCTATGTAGTCTTCAAAAAAACTGATGGGCTTTTTTTTCTAAACTGAACTTTGAAATCTTAAAAAAGCAGAAAATACGCATATTGGTAGGATAGTCAATCACGCGCTACAAAACACAAGAAGATTGCACAATGAGCGCAGATCAGATAATTGTCTCAGGCACCCCCCGCGTTAAAGGAAAGCTCGTACACAGACAATTTTTATTGACCACGATTGAATTGATTGTGAAATCATGCCAAAAAAGTCCTTAACATGTTCACAGAGTTGCGCAACACATGTTGAGCATAGATTTGGAATCAACGTTTCAAAGCTACTGGTATACACAGTGGCGTACCCAGGATTTCGGCTCGGGGGGGGGGGCGACGAAAAAATTTTTCTAAAGAAGGTGCGTGGCGTCAGCCACGCACTCCCAAAAATTTTTTTGGTATGCTTATTCAAATTTTCGCGGGCTTTAACCCCGAAATTTCATAAAAAGTGGGCGTGGCGTCAGCCACGCCCCCGAAAGAAATTTTTTATGAGGCTGAAATGAATTTTTAAAAAATTTTAAAACATATTTTATCTACCTACAAGTAAGAACAAGTCATTTGCACAATTTTATAACTCATGTAAGTAACTTTCAAAAATTTCGCGACCCGTTCTCGGGGAGGGGGGGGGGGGGCGCCCACCCCCTCCCCCCCCCGGTACGCCACTGGTATACACGTATAACAAAAGGCCACGTTACCGTGTACCTCTCCTTGCCAAACTTTCAAAATCATGGCAAGAAGGCCGGGCATACATCATGCGACTTCATCGCATTGCGATTCTCCCCAAGGCAACATTTACGAGTCCATTGCATATTAGTTAGCCGCAAGTAGTGGCGTCGAAAAACACCATAATCGAAATGCAAAATCGGCATGAAATGGATTCGTAACAGTTGTCTTGGCCGGAGAATCGCGAGGCGATGAAATCGTGTGATATATGAACGGCCCTAAAGTTACACTAATTGTGAGGAAGAATCCAAATTGTTAGGGTACATTATTGCACTTATCGGAATGCCTTCATGCGAACTAAGCAGAAAAAACTTGGAAACCGAGAGGACGCAAGCCCGAGAGAAAATGACACGTTAAAATCATAACCGCAAAGCTATGAATGGACGAAAAACCTAACAAGACAAGAAAACAAAATCGAAAACATACCTTTACAACATTGTCTAACACTGTATTAGCACTAGTTTGTCTGGCCAGTTCATCAATGCGCGTCCTATCCATGATCGAGCCATTAGAACTGGGTGGAGCTAGCATCGGCTGTACATTAGTTCCAGGAGGTGGAGGTTGGCCACCAGGAAGTAGCGCAAGCTGGGCACGAGTCTGTTGCGGTTGTGGAGGTGGCAGCCGCAGGCCCATGATAGGGGATGAAGAGACATGAATTTGCTGTGGTGGTGGTGGTCCTGTATGCACAATCTGCATGGTTGGCTGAGGCGCACTACTCACTCGCATCATCTGAGCCGGCTGTCCCATCACTGGACGTTGAGCAATTTGATGGACAATGCGCTGCTGCGGCACACCGTTCGACGACGGCTGATACACCTGCTGCACCGTTCGCATCTGCGGGGGTGCCGGCTGTCCTCCTGCCCCTTGCGGGTACGGTATCGGGGCACGGCCTTGCTGTTGGAGCTGAACTCGGATGGGCCCACCGCCGGGTTGCACTTGCTGTTGTTGTTGTGGTCCTCCTCCACCCCGCGAACTTAGAGCCGCGATAAGATGCGATGGTCCGCCTGGCTGGTTCGGCTGTTGCATCTGCTCATCAGACATGGCTCTGAAATACTGACAATTACTAATATTTCAAATTTGATTGCGAGTGAAGTGAAGAAAGGCCTCAGATGTACTTTTCTAACTACATAACAAGAAAAGAGCTATAGCTGCATCAGTAGGATAGAATCGGAGCAGTTCCTTGTCAAGCCATACAAAGAGCATGACGAAACAATGTGATGACGTACTGGCTTATTGCACTTTGGGTAGGTGCCAGAGTAAGCGAATATTTTGTTCAGGTTGGGGTGCGCAGAATTGACGTCAACTTGGATTGAAGCCAGCATGGTGAGTGACGTCCATGTGCGCGGGACCCCAACCTGAACAAAATATTCGCTTACTCTGGCACCTACCTTGCACAAAAAAGCACGAATAACAAGCGAGAATGAAAACATCAAACTAGCTCGTCTTGTCAAGTGTCGTATTCAGCTTCCAAATCAAAAAATTGATACGGCAAAGATCGTCCAAAAGCAGTGAAAGGTCATAGCGATTTCGAAGATTTGTTTTCAACTTGAAACATTAGCCACAAACCATACTGTCAATTATTGATGGAGTTGTCTGTGCATATGAGGAGGGCGCTGATCACGAAAACCTCCAAAGGTTTGAGCTACTGTTTGTGCTCTACACCAAGCCATCCAAGGTTTAGAAAGAATGGTAGAGAAACGCGTACAGCCATAAAAAACTGTACTGTACGCTTCGGTGAGTCAGCTGACACATAGGTTCAACTTCCATAGTGTGGCCACACTACTAAGGGTTCCTTCATACTACACCGCAGGACGCGGCGTGCTGCCGCGTGCTACGGTGTAGTAATATGAAGGAACGCTCACAAGGAAAGGATACTTGGTGACCGTGCGTAGCCATTCGGAATGCGATGTACACCGTAAGATGCACCTCGGAACGCTGATTCTAAATATGTGCTCGATATCTGCGAAACAATTTTTTGAATGAAGTCATGAACTGTTTTCCGTAGAAAATTTGCCTACTTTTGGGTAGCTTAAGTCACCAAATTTGTTCAAGGTTACCGCTTGAAGTTATTGAAGAGAATCTTAAAAGAGTAAACTGCTGTAATATACCTATTCAAGTCATATTCAGCATTTGAAATGGAAAATAATATTTTATAGATGATTTTGACTCTTCGCAGTAGTGCAATTTATGCATAAAAAGATCATAACTCCATCCAGGTTATCGTTTCGCAGATATGGAAGATAGCATTCGAATCAGCATTAAAAGGCGGATTTTTGGATATACAAATTATAACGGATGGTCACGGTCACCAAGTATCCTTCCCTTGTAAGAGCAGAACTAACTTATCAAATAGAGCACCATACTTGCTCATAATCTGGAACAGAAGGGACCAACGACGCGCACGACTGAAAAGCTGATATATACTGGTGTTGGCGCTCGCGACCAAAGCGAAACGACCGCATGCGAGATGACGAGATGACCAGGGGCGAGTATGACAAACATTTTGTCAACATCCTGTGTTTCGTCCACAAGAAACAGTGCACCCACGTGAATTATCTTTCTTCTTATTAGAACACCAATATTGGATATTACGTTAACAAGAAATCGTCAGAAGTGCAAGTGGCCCACATAGAAGAGTTGTATGCCATTCGATGGAGCGCTGACTTTGAAACTACCTTTTCTACCTTTTAGGCGACTCTGTTGAGGAAGGCACAGAAGATGTGTGTAGCATGCAAATTTCAATGTAAGGATACACATGGTAGGCAGAAGCTTACAGCTTCTATTATAGATTATAGAGTACTCTTCAGACCGAAGAGTGATCTCACAGTGTACCCACATCCCACATCCGAAGATATGCCCTTCGCAACACAATTTCCTTGCAACAAATCGCGCATAATTTTGTTTACAGTGCACTTGATAGATAGTTTGAAACCAGCGTTTTGTTCTGCATCGAATGATATGCAACTCTTTGGCAGATGCCACCTCGACTTCTGATCATTCCCTAGTAAGAAAAGGCTTTTTTTTTTTTTGAAGATAGGATGAAGGAGAATCAAGCGCATGTATGATTTACGACATCAAATATATTCATCAATTCAAATATCGCGACAAGTACACCCCTTCTCAGTGTGCAACAACAATAACAAAAATTTATGTAACGAAGTAATAACAAGTCATTAATAGGCCGACGTGACCTCAACAGGTTGCATTGGCGGGGGAACAATGGGGATGACGTCCCTCTTCTCAAGTTTGTGTTCGGAGCTTGGCTCGGTTGGATTGACTTCCGGCATTTGTTTCAGGATTTGGACATGATCAGGAGGAGCGTTCTTCGGACCCATTTGGCCACGAGGATCATGATGCAGCATAATCTTGACTTGATACCAATCACTCCTGGAATCAAAATAAACATATTTCTTTTTACATGCATGAACAAAACGAAGTCAAAAGTGGAGTAGTGGATGGAAATAAATGCAGCCACTCACCCTGACGAAGTTGCACCTGTCGAACGGCTTACTGAATGTATTCCTGACTGGGTGTCCAGAATGGATCATAAGTCCATCGAAGAATTTCATGGTCTTAGCACGCTGACCGCGAAGCTTGCCAGAAACAATAACCTAAAAAGTATCCAAAATACATGCCATGTAAGAAGCAACGACACTGAATTGCGGTGCAGCATGAAACCGAAGCTGTCACTGACAAGGAAACGATACTCAATGTCCGTGGCTTTTTGAGACGAGATGTACACCATTACACTCGTTTTCGAACGCTGATTCCGAATCTGACTTCCTTTTCTGCTAATCGTTTCTCTGAAAAAAGTTATGAAGGAATTTCGATCCAGGTTTGGCCGCTTAAGGGAAATACGGTCATTGGAACGGCCTCTACTGCGACCATGTTCTGGTCTAATGGTTAGTGCGATAGCCTCATAAGTTGATGTAGGTTCAAATCCTTTGCATTTTTACTTTCGCATTACTTTTGCCTCAATTAACCTTGTTCGAGAAAGTTTACTCGAATTATGACCATTGAATACATTTTAGCGCAAACAGTAGTGATTTCTTCTAAAATACCACATTTTTTCAAGAGTGAGGGCGTTCACTTAACTTGAGGATGTGAAAGAAGGTTAATTGAGTCAACGCAAAACTAAAAAACACAAAAGGACTCGAACCTAGAGCTGCATCAACTCATAAGGCTATCGCATTAACCACTAGACCACAACGCACCCATGTCACTGGCACTCCGACATATTTTCACTGGGCAGCCAAAATCTGCGCGGTCCATGATAACATCTTTGGAGCGATTAGCAGAAACGGAAGTAAGATTTGGAATCAGCGTTCCAGGACGAGTGTAATGGTATACATCTCATTTCAAAAGGTCACGGACACCGAGTATCGTTTAGTTGTGAGACAGTCCGGCGACTAGAACACCATTTTACTTCGCAGGCCCAGATTGGACTAGAAACTCTTCATTTTGCCTCCGATAGACTACGGCAAAACCTATGCTTTGCCCTTTCGCAACACAAGCGGGGCGAACTGCCAAGCCACGGCCCCATTTATGTAAATCTACACAGTCGGTTGCGCGGCCGGTCGCGTCGCGCACTCACTTCGTGTGCTTGGGTCACGCTTGTTCAGGTCGCGCTTAGGAAAGAACATTTCACTATCATTTAGGATGGAAGTCATTCAGGAATGAATGCTTTTGATTCCGAGTTTGATTTCCCTTACTGCACCTGCACTGCTTCTTTATATTCACCTTTTAACCTCTCGATCACCTAAACTTGTGCAGGATCTTGGGTTCAGGGTGTGACGCTTCAATTTCACTAGGCACGTGCACATAACAAGCCAAGTACGGAAGTGTCGAATCGGATCCTAAGTCTGGATTAGCGCGATGTCTAAAAGATCATGGCATTTTAAAGTTTGACCTAGAGAAGTTTTCTGCTCTTTCCATATGAGCGAATGTTCACTGAAAGTTTTCGATTGCATTCTCCTAGTCAACTAATCTGTTAGGATCTGAGTTTGTCCCCTTTTGCTCTTTGCTTGAAAATGTTTGCTATACTATCGTCCATTTTGGGACTTGGATATCCGAGTATGCTTTGCACACAACTAACTAACGAGTTAGTGCATGTGCTTTGTCTCTCTTTGGATCACTGTACTTGGAACTCGAAAGACATAGTCATCAGCTGTCAGGCAACATGTAGCCGTATTCCTGAGTATTTTATTCACAGAGAAGATGATCATACAAAGACTAAAAGACTCGAGCACGCTTCGCATACACTGTCTAAACAAGCTCGACTGTGTGATTAGCAATAGTTGTGATCTATCAGTTTACTACTCTGAACTATGGAAGAACGAGTACCTATAAGATTAGTAGCTTGTTGAGACAATGTGCAGAGCGTACTCGACTCTGTTTCAGAATAGATTATACTTATATCTTCGACACAAAAAGTGATAGCTTCAAAAATGTGCACGTCGTACCAGTACTCAAACTCAAAACTCGATGACCCCATCGAAATTAGCGTTCCAGCAACCCAAGCAAGGCAACGCTGACATGAATAGTGCTCTAAGACCAGAGGAGCTCGATTAAGATGTAGCAATAAAAAACAATAACATAATCTAGATAATCTTTTTCTATGCCTTACGTGAAAAAAGGTCATCTGTGATAGCGTAACTCTCAAAAGGTATTTGGGCATGTCAAACATCGATTCTTGCTTCTTCAATCACGCTATTTTACTGGCACAGCTCAGCCTAAGTCGAGCAAATAACTTATCAAAAGAAAGCAAGAATAGAAGATTACACAGATGCCGGCCGTGAGCTCGGTCATAATCATCATTCAAACTTGCTTGCAGAGATGTATGAACCCTTCACACTCTTCAAGCCTGTGACAGTGTCACATAGAAGAACGCAGCACTATTCCCTCCGACAGAGTGAATTTATCGAAGAATGCATGAAGTGGTTTTCGGACATCTTCTATCCTGCTATCTAACCAAGTGATCGAAAATGATGAGAACCAGCAAGCGTGGCCTGGTGACAAGCTGCGCGCGCGACGCGACTGCCCGCGCAGCCGTATGTGTAGATTTAAATGGGACCCCAAGCCACCGACCAATTTGTATCGGAGCGACTCGCACTGAGCCACTGCAAAGAGACCTCGGTTAGAGACTTTCTCCGCATAGAGCTCAAAAGGAGAGTGGATAAAATGCGGAAAAGTTCACAAGAAATTTGCGAAAATAGAAGCCAAAATGGGCATCGCTGAGGGAAAATTATATTCACTGCAAAAAGGCTCGTTTTCAAAGGTGTTCGGTTTTCCTAAGAGATCGTTCAAACCGCGCACAAAGGCGCACGAAGGCGCACGAAGGCGCTCGAAGGCGCACGAAGGCGCACGAAGGCGCACAAAGGCCCCGTATGTTTGTCTTTATTATTGATCGAATTGAAAAGTGCGCCTTCGTGCGCGGTCCGAACGATCCCTAAGAGAAAGATGGTGACCCCAGATTAGGAATGTTCACCGTTGTAAAGGCAAGTCTGTACGATCGTGTTGATATATAATTTTAAAGTTGCCAAAAATTTGGAAACTTTGAAGGTTTGCGAACTTTCCAAATTGCATTGAAACGATACACTGAAGTGCTGATCAACACCAGGGATTACTAGATTTTCATAGAATTTGTATCCCGCCCAAAATTGACAAACTTTGCCTGTTAGGCTTGAGATATACCTGACGATGTGTCGCTATAGCTGACGATAAGACGCTGCCAGCAGCAACGCCTTTTATGCGTATCGATTGACGCCAGGCGACGCTGCTGCTCCAAGCTGCTGCAGCCAACGCGAAACAGACCCGCTATAGCTAGCGATGCTGCGCTGCTCTGCGCTGCTGCTTGCTGCTCGTTGCTGCTCCTCGCTGCTCCTCGCTGCTATGCGATATGAAGCTCACTTTTGGTGAGCTTCTCTCAGCTGCTTCACGCTGCTGACGCTGTTTTTGCTCGGATTTGTCCCTTTTTAACATATTTTTGAACTTCTGGAGGATTTGTAGAGCACTTGTTGCAATACTCAACTGTGACAAATTTGCAAGTCCAAAACGCAATGCGTCGATAAGAAAATCATTGAGAAACTGACAAAATCGATAAAGATCTGAACAACTGCCCAGAACTTTTGCGAAGCAAAAATAAAATCAAATTGGAGTAACGATGAGAAGCTAGAGGATTTTTACGATTCAGGGGATATTACCAGTACACCTCAATACATTAAAGGCAGCTATGACCTAGATTGCTCGGTTTTTGCCTCAAGCACACATCAAGATTCTACAGCACACTCACTTGGATATCTGTCAAATGATTGTTTTCTCCGTATTTTTTCAGTATATGGTATATGGTTTGCCATTTTATGCTTCAAAAAATTGTTGATGAGAACAGGATGGCTTTTTTGGACCTCATGTAATCATATTTTCAGTTTTGGTAGTTCCTCAAAACTTACTTTCCTAATGGCCTAAGCTAAGTGTAGTAACGGGTAAAGCTACTTAATTCTTGCACCCAAAGCGTACCCAGCGCAGCAGCCACGAGCAGCTAAAGGCAGCGCAGACATCAGCTATTCGCCAACACCCGCTATACCTCTATCGTCAGGTATATCTCAAGCCTTACAAGTCAGCAGCCAACAGTTCTTGAGAAGAACCAAGCGACACTTCATTTGATAAATCCTGTAGATATCGAGGATACATGCCATCCCCGAGGCTGATATCGCACTTCAGCTTCTCGCCACAATTTAGGCGACGAGCGTAATTCCGTACAGTCGCCTGCACGAAATCGCCCGGGTTGTTGTAGGCTTAAAGCACGCGAGCGTTCCTGCAACGTGGCTACCGAGTACGGGCGCTATGATGACTCTTGCGCGCGAATGCCACTGTCAAGACCCGTCAAACTTCGCCGAAAAAAGCCCAAAAAAGCCCGAAAGTGCCCAAAGAAGCCCGAAAAAGCCCAAAAAAGCCCAAAAGCGCCCAAAGAAGCCCGAAAAAGCCCGAAAAAGCCCAAAAAAGCCCAAAAAAGCCCGAAAGCGCCAGAAAGAGCCAGAATGTAGAAACGAACTTTTGTTAGAATTCTGACATTGTCTTACCATGCGGACGACAGAAAATGACAAAGAGGCTCGATTGAGTCAACACACATGCCTTAACGCCAAAACGTGCGAGAAGTGTTCCGGCTCTTTCTGGCGCTTTTGGGCTTTTGGCTTTTTCGGGCTTTTTGGGCTTTTTTCGGCGAAGTATGACGGGTCCCTTAGCCCGCAAGAGGCACGCGCGCGGGTGCTCATTTCGGGCGATTCCGTGCAGTCAATTATATCATCTGCAGCGCCTTTGCTGGTAGCACCCACGGCTGGCTGCGGCAGCATCGGCTGCCCGGATGCCACTTGCACGCCTCCCGGTAGCCGGTGACTCCCAGTCATTGGAAAAAGCTTGCACCCATCCAGCAACCTCTTCGACAATAGCAAGATGGATCCTACATGCTTTTCCCAAAGTGTATTCATACATTTGCTTGATCATACACACTATGCACTGAAATACCCGAAACAGTCTTGGATAGCGAACTATCAAATTTATTCGATACTCAAGCATCTCGAACAACCAAATGACATATTCGGAAAAAGTCTTGTGAAATAAAGCTTGATTTCAAGAACAAAAAGCTGAAGAGCATGACTTCGTAACAATGACTCACTCTTGGGTTCAAGTTTCGAACATGGACTACCAGAGATGGTTCTGGATTGGTGGGATCAGCGAGCTCATCTCGTTTGAACCTTTTCATTGGCGGGATGCTGAAACGACTATCACGAGCTACAGCAGTTGAGAATACAATTACACTCGACGAGGAAAAGTCGTAAACTATCTACCTTTGTTCACTGCTGTCAGCACCATCCATAATCCAGCTAGACCTGAAATGGCTATAAAATGAACATATTCACTGGAACACAGCAAAACTTCTACATGCGAGATATTGAGATAGCTAGAGAAACATAAATGGAAGGAACAGAAACAGAAGAGAAAATAGAAACAGTCAGAGAAACGCATATGTTGGGATAGCTTGAGAAACAATCTCCAAGCAGAGGAATGCAACGTTTTCCCAAGAACTACTATCGTCTACTGAGCGCGCAAACCCTGCTCGGGTAACACGAAAGTTTGGAGCTTATTATCTACAGTTAGTTTCGACCCGCTTTAGGCGGAAATTGGACTGTCGGGAGTCCGCCTCGCAACAGCTCGCCGTTTCGCAGCTACAGTATATCCTATCGTGTTGGAAACCCATGTCTGCGTCTCTTCAATCTCCTTAGTCTTTGCTTGGCAAAATGCCAGCGCTATCCGCTAGCGGGGTCTCCAACGCGCTGCTCCACGTAGAATGTCTCGCCTAATCCGGGATGAAACCGACTGTAGCTACATTGAATTTTTCATGCAAAGCCAAGTGCTGGAATGCTGCAGCTTTTCTCTATAGGACCTTCCAAAGATAGCTTCGGAAATATTTTCTCCAAGTAGTGAAATACAAAGTTTTCCCATAAAAGTCGTCAACTAAGCGTGTCTGTCTGTGTAACACGCCGAGGTGGTTTATCTAGAATTTTACGAAAAATCGGTGGCAACCGGGTGTCGCAAAAATGTGCCTCCTTTTTATGACTCTCTTCTTATGAAGTTTTAGAGGGTTTAGGTACCATTTGTAAAGCTGGCTTAAGCTTATTTGCAGTATCAAGCGAATCATCGATCGCTCTTCACTACTGTAGGATCACGGTAAGAACTTCTGGCATGTGCGTCAGTGTGAAAAGGCAGCCGTTTTGAATACATTCATGTGTAAAATTTGTGTGACATGAGGGTTTTCATGGACGCTGAGTATGGAACTTTGTACAAGATTCTAAAGCTTTCTAAACTGTGTGACCACATTTTTTAGGAGCATCGAAAATAGCGGCTGCCACTGCTTGCCTGGCAAAGGATTTTAAGAAAGCATTGTGAATAAATCAGCAACTCTAATATGCTCAGCGTGAGGGTACAGGTAGCTTTGTTTCCTTTCTGAAGCAAAATATGGTCCTCCATGGCTCAAAACCTCCTTCAATATTCTTATCGTAATTCTACAGTAATGATGAACGATCGGAGATTCGCCCCTATACTGTAAATAAAGCTGAAGCCAACTCTACAAAATGGTATCCATAGGTGCGAAGGGTTGAGATGGGTACCCTTTGAAGTGAAGGGGGTCTCGGGTGTTTTTGACCCCCAAAAGTGAAGGGGGTCCAAAAATTGCCGACGTCGACCGGGGGGGGGGGGGAATTGAAAAAAAATAAATTTTCAATTTTTCAACTTTAATTTTCCAAATTTTAATTTTAACAATTTTCCAATTTTTTTGCTTTTAAAATTTCTAAATTCATTTGTATACACTTTAACATAGTAAAATGTTTCCGAGTACTTTTTTGATGAATATCATTTCATTATCATGTATCATGGAAGCAAAAGTCGGGACAGGACCCCCCTCACTGGGACGAAGCAGGAGCTAAGGTGAGTTAGTTAGATTAAAGTTGAGAATTCGGAGCTGAAAAATCCAATTTTAGGCATTCCATGGGACGAGCAGTATTGAGTCGATATGGGAGGGCGCATGGTCGTGAAACGAATGGCTGGATGGTGCCTACACGTGGGCTTGTTGGACGAGACTCTGGAAAAGACATTTTGTGGTTATAATGTGGATATAAATTGAATAATTTGCCATCGTATTGTGTGTATAAGTATAAACAATAAATGGAATTGTTGTACACAATCGAATTTGTATATACTGAGTGAAGGCAGGAAAATAATCAGAATAGGAAAGGTAAGATATCGGAGTTTGATGATCAAAAGAGAAAGCTGCTGGAAATAAGTTCTATAAAGGTAGAGGGAGAAGGTAAGTCAGGTATTAGGTACTCAGGTAAGCTTCCGATGTAGGCTGATAAGGAGAAGCAGGTTTGAGTTTCCAACTATACCCCCTTCGAGCCAAAAAATTTCCATATCTCGGTGAGGGGGTCATCTCATGATCTAGTTTCTTTTTTATCTTGTAAGGGAGAGTGTGCTTGAGATAACTAGGGCTGTCGCAAAAGAATCTGCTGAAGCAGAACTTCTGAAGCTTGAATTTTACGCACAAATTTATGCGTCTTCAACTCGGTGCTGTTGCTCTCCTTCCTTAAAGCAGATCCTTTTGCGACAGCCCTAGTTATATCAAGTGAACCTCCCTCTACAAGATGGTGAAAAAAGTAGATCACGAGAGGACCTCCCCGCTGAGATATGAAGCGTTAAATTGAGCCACCCAAAATCGATTTTTTGCTGTAACTCTTATGTAAATAAACAAAAGTAAACAAGGAGCTGGAATTAGAATCTACTCTTCAAGAGCTTTCGAATGATATATAATATGTGGGGGTTCCTTGTTTTTTTCGCCCTGCGACAGGCGTTGAGACGATTCAGTTATGCGATCTCAACCCCGCCCACTTTAATGCATGTGGAAGGGGGGGTAGACCTGAGATCGCATAACTGGAGCGTCTCAACCCCTGTCGCAGGGCGAAAAAAACAAGGAACCCCCACATATTATATATCATTCGAAAGCTCTTGAAGAGTAGATTCTAATTCCAGCTCCTTGTTTACTTTTGTCTATTTACATAAGAGTTATAGCAAAAAAATCGATTTTGGGTGGTTCAATTTGACGCTTCATATCTCAGCGGGGAGGTCCTCTCGTGATCTACTTTTTTCACCATCTTGTAGAGGGAGGTTCACTTGATATAACTAGGGCTGTCGCAAAAGGATCTGCTTTAAGGAAGGAGAGCAACAGCACCGAGTTGAAGACGCATAAATTTGTGCGTAAAATTCAAGCTTCAGAAGTTCTGCTTCAGCAGATTCTTTTGCGACAGCCCTAGTTATCTCAAGCACACTCTCCCTTACAAGATAAAAAAGAAACTAGATCATGAGATGACCCCCTCACCGAGATATGGAAATTTTTTGGCTCGAAGGGGGTATAGTTGGAAACTCAAACCTGCTTCTCCTTATCAGCCTACATCGGAAGCTTACCTGAGTACCTAATACCTGACTTACCTTCTCCCTCTACCTTTATAGAACTTATTTCCAGCAGCTTTCTCTTTTGATCATCAAACTCCGATATCTTACCTTTCCTATTCTGATTATTTTCCTGCCTTCACTCAGTATATACAAATTCGATTGTGTACAACAATTCCATTTATTGTTTATACTTATACACACAATACGATGGCAAATTATTCAATTTATATCCACATTATAACCACAAAATGTCTTTTCCAGAGTCTCGTCCAACAAGCCCACGTGTAGGCACCATCCAGCCATTCGTTTCACGACCATGCGCCCTCCCATATCGACTCAATACTGCTCGTCCCATGGAATGCCTAAAATTGGATTTTTCAGCTCCGAATTCTCAACTTTAATCTAAGTAACTCACCTTAGCTCCTGCTTCCTCCCAGTGAGGGGGGTCCGGTCCCGATTTCTGCTTCCTTTACCGCATTCTCATTTCCTACACTCTGTAAATAGATTCTTTTACCTTAAATTGTACTCCACTTCAAGCACACTATCATCTCACCTCAAAAAATTTTCTTTCTCCGTCCAAAGTGAAGGGGGGGGGGGGGTAGCCCGGGCTCCAAAGTGAAGGGGGGGGTGAAATTTTTCTCAACCCTTCGCACCTATGATGGTATCTACAGCTTTTCTAAAGACTTCATGTCTATAGGGCTATCAATAATCAAACATAGGGACATTTTTCTGGAACACATTATATATACGAAAGGGCACGGTATGTTTTTTCCTAACTGTAACAAAACTGACCACACAGCTCTTCATATACTTGGAAAACCAATAGCATGTAACCCTTCGCTTCTCATTCGGTATGTGTGCAAGTTTCCAAATCTGTGGGAGAATTTGTCATTTGGAATATTTTCTAAAGTCTTCTATGCAGTCAAACATAATAGAAATAGTACGCAACGGACACTCAGCCTTAGCGATCCTGTCGCATTAGAAAGTGTCTGACAGAAAAGTGTGGGAAATTTTGGTCAGAAAAACTGGATCTTTCTCAGCCATTCGATTACAGTACTGAGGGCAGTCTGGTGGGATAAGCAATGAATATCCAGCTGATTCGAACATATACAATTTCGAAATTCAAAGTCGTAAAATTTATGATGTTATGTACGCTGTCTTGTTTTCGATTTACATAGTTCTGCCGACATATGCTCGAGTCAGTTGTAATTTTGTAAACGAACACCTACCAAGCTGCACCCTACGACTCAATATGAACAGTTAGAAGACCTTTCGATAGAAATCAGCTGGTTTCAATCTCGCTTGTAAAGTGCAGAAAAAGCAATCCTCCAAAAACATCCTTTGAAGGCATAAAACTTGAAATCTGCGTCAAAATTTACAAGTCATGGGCAGTCCCAAAGCGATGATGTATGTATTGTAATATCTGTTGTAACTATTTGTGTATTGTTTCTATCTACAGCAACCTCCTATGCCCAGATGTGTGAACACGTGAATTCTTGCAAAATAGCTACTGTGTGATATGGCCTATTAACTTGTGAAAACTCCCATTGCTGCCCCCTGCCTAATATTTACTTTTGAGGGTGCCCCAATTTTTCTAGGATTTTTAGTAATCAATACATTATGGAAAGATCGGTAATTACAGCGTTGGATATTTTTCCCAAGTATATGAAGAGCTGTGTGGTCAGTTTTGTTACAGTTAGGAAAAAACATACCGTGCCCTTTCGTATATATAATGTGTTCCAGAAAAATGTCCCTATGTTTGATTATTGATAGCCCTATAGACATGAAGTCTTTAGAAAAGCTGTAGATACCATCATAGGTGCGAAGGGTTGAGAAAAATTTCACCCCCCCCTTCACTTTGGAGCCCGGGCTACC